GTTTTGCATTACCTTGAATACTTCATATCATTCTTTTCTGGCCTGTAGTTTCTGAGGAGACCCTCCCAAAAACTAAGAGTCCTTCAATGACAGCCTTATGGGGGCTCCTTTGTAGGTAACAGATTGCTTTTCTCTTGCTGCCTTTAAGATTCTCTCTTTGTCTTGAATTCTTGGCATTTTAATTATGATNCTTGCTGCCTTTAAGATTCTCTCTTGTCTTGAATTCTTGGCATTTTAATTATGATGTGTCTGTTCATGGGCCTCTTTGGATTCTTCTTCCTTGGGACTCTCTGTGCCTCCTGAACTTGTCTGACTTTTTCCTTGACCAGGTTACGAAAGTTTTCTGCCATTATTTCTTCAAACAGTTTCTCTAACCCTTGCTTACATTCTACCTCCTCTGGCAATCCTATAACGCAGATATTGTTACATTTCATGTTGTTNCCAACCTCCTCTGGCACTCCTATGATGAAAATATTGTTACATTTCATGTTGTTCCACAGCTCCCTTAGACTGTCCTCCTGTTTTTTAATTGTTTTTTCATTTTGGATCTTTGATTGATTTTTTTCTACCCTGTCTTCTAATTCACTTATCCAGTCCTCAACTTCCTCTAATCTGCTATTTATCCCTACCAATGTATTCTTTATTTCTCCTATGTCATTCTTAATTTCCTTCATAGTTTCCATATCTTCTTTCATGCTGTTGAGCATCCTTACATCAGTATTCTGAACTCTATATCTGAGAGATTGCTTATCTCCATTTCATTCAGCTCTTTTTCTGGAGAATTATCTGTTCTTTCATTTGGGGCTTGTTTTTTTTTGTCTCCCCATGGAGCTGCCTGTTTGGGTTTGTTTCTAAGTATTAGGTAGATCTGCTAGGACTCTTAGTTTTTTGGAGGGTCTCTGGTGCAGGCCAATGTCAGGCACAGTTTGTGACTGGCCCTGAGTACCCTGTTTGGAGCTATCAACAACCCTCAGCTTAGGTCTTCTCTGCTGAGGCTGGGTTTGATTGGACAGGACCAAGATGTACACCAAATTCTGCTTTTCCAAGGCCTGAGTCCAGAAGCAGATCAGGCAAAGACTCAAAGCACTCTGAGGCCTGCCTTTGCCTGCAGGCTGATTAATATGGTTCTCTTAATGAGCCCGAGGCTGTAGAAAATCCTCGGGGGTGGGTAAGAGGTTTTCCAGCAGGGTGGGGCAATCACTTCCCTCCCCAGGCAAAAGCAGCAAAATGTCTGTCTGAAAAAGATGTTCTCTGCAGTACAGGGGAATGACTCTGCACAGGAGTCCAGAGGGGCGCCCTCTGAGTTCTATCTCCAGAGCCTGCACAGCCCTAGATTCTCCTCACACAGCTCCAGTCCACTCTACCCTCCCTCTGCTGGAGCCCAGGGTGAGTGGCTGTACAGGAAACTTTGTGTGTTGGCTCTTTCAGAGGGCACCTACAGTTCCAGCTGTCTCTTCCTGGTCAACAGAAACCTGGCTGCTTTTCACAGCCAGATGTTATGTGGGCACCTTTCTCAGTTCTGGTGCTCTTGGCTGGGAAGCCCAGCCTGGGGTTTAGGACCCAGAATCCTCAGTGGGAACCCCCCACCCAGCTGAGATCTCCCTCCAGACCTTCAGCTGCTGCCTGTGGGAGCCCAGCCATGCCCCTCGTGTCCACACTTCCTACCCATCTCTATGTGGCCTCCACTTTTCCTCCTCAGTTATGAGGGTGCTCTCCAGCTCGTCTTCAGTTGCAGTTGGTTTTCAGGATGATTTTTCTGTGTTTTATTTGTAGTTCCAGTTTGGTCCGGGGAAAGTGTCAGTGTAGCTTCCACCCAGTCCACTGCCATCTTTTTCGATGGGTTTTCTTTGAGAGATCTAGGTGATCTTTATCCAGCAATTCTTTTAGATATTAATATGGGGTATACATTTTCCATCCATTTGCTTTCAAGTTTTCTGCTTACTTATATTTTAATCTGATAATCTTGGTCCTACTGCAAGATCATTTAGACCACAAATGGTTCTAATGACTAAAATAGTTGTTTTTGATCTGCTGCGTTATTTTATGCATGCTTTTTCTTTTTCTCTTTATTTTTTTCTTCTTTCTGATTGGTTGAGCTTTCAATGATTCTGTTTTTTTTCCTGTGGTAGTTTATGTTATATCCTGTTTTTTTTTCTTTAATTGATTACCCTAAACATTACAATGTGTATTCATAACTTCTCAAAGACTATTGAACTTATCAAAAGCCAATTCTAAATTTTTATTACTTCTTAGGTAATAAAAAAGATCTTATAAGATTTAAAAACTATCCTCTCTTCTCTCCTTATAGTATGTTTTTTTCATATTTTAATTTCATATATCTTATTACTTTAAACTATTCATGTTTATTAAGATTTACCCACATTTTGCCACATTCTTGTTCTTTGCTTCTGCCTGTATCCTCAAATTTTACCTGCATTTTCACCTCATTCAAAACACTCTACTTAAAGTATCCTTAGTGTGTTCCATTAATAGCATGTTCTCTTAGCTTTAGCTCACCTGAGTGTCTCTATTTCTCCTCTATTCTTAAGTAAAATTTTTGTGGGGCACAGAATTAGGTTGACAGACATTTCTGTGCTGCACTTTGACGACATTCCACGACTTAGAACTTACATTCTTGTTATTGAGAAGTAACTGCCATTATGAGTGATACTTCTGTGAAGTTCCTTTTTTTCTCTGTTTTAAGATTTTTCTCTATTTCTTCTTGTTTGATTGTGTTTTGCTGGTTTCTACACTTTTGCGTGTGTCCATATGTAGATTTCTTTCTAGTAATTTTTAAAATTTTAAGCTTTTCAAAAATGATTCTTAGGGTTCATGGGGCTTCTTTTATCTATAGCTTGATACTGTTCATCAGTTTTGCAAAATGCTCTACTATTATATTTTTAAATACTTCTTTCTCCCCTCTACTTCTGATATAACAATTAATATTCCATTGGCTTTTCAGACTATATATACTATATTTCTTTTCTTCTGTATTTTCTAACTTTTGGCTCTCTATTCTTTATTTTGAACAGTCATTGATGAGCTGATATGACTCATCTTTCAGTTTATAAATTATCTTCAGCTGTGTAAAAATCAGTTAAGCAATTCATAAAGGTTTTAATTTTGATAGCTTTATTTTTAATTTTTAGAATTTTTATTTGTTTTTCAAAACTGCACTTTTCTGCTGAAATTTGAATATTGGTGGTATATTAATTGAAGAAAGTAAGATAGCTCTTTAATATTCTGTGGCTGATAACTGTAGTATCTGAATATTGCCAAGTGCTGTCTTTTGATTCTGATTCTTTCCTTCATGGCTTTCTGTTTACTTGTTTACGTGGATATGTTTTATTCTGTGCCAGATACTGAATTTCAAAAAAATATTTGTAGGAATAATTTAAAGTCTGTGATGATACTATATTTCTCCAGGGAGGCTTTTTATACATCTCTGTCAAACACAATCAGTATCAACCACTCACACCATCTTAATTTAAGGAGAAGGCCTGAGATGTCCTCCGACCATCCAGGTGATGTGGAGCAAGACTCTAAATGCACATGATGTTCATTTTACATCAGGTTCACCCTGACCCTGGGAGCATCTCTCGTAAGGGCCTCACTTAAAGTGAGGAGTGGTTCATGAGTATCCCTGAATTTGATCTTAACTCTAATCCTGAAAGACTTCCAAAGCTCATCTTGGTTGAACAGTTTCCCCTTGATTGGCACAAGCCTTTAGGACACTGAGTGCTGGGGTTATTTTGCGGATTTTTCCTTTATCTTTTAAAAAAAGTTTTGGCTTAGAAATTTCTCATATCTTATGAATTTTTTGATACTTTCCAGAATATTATAAGATATTTTACCCAGATTTTTAATAATTATGGGTCAGAATGAATTGGTGCACCATGATGGAAACCAGAACTGCATGAGAAAGGGCTCATCATGCAACCCACTAAAAAGAAATTGATGCTTGAAATGGTTAGGACACTTGTCCAAGGCCACAGCTGGACAATTACTTTAGCTTCAAAAGTCCATTTCTCCTGGTGTATTCTTTGCACTGTACCAAGATGCTTCTCAGAGAGACAATAAGTAGCAATGTAGAGCTCAATTTCTGGGGAGTAACAAAGATCTGTTCTGTAGCATACTCAGAACAAATAATAGAATTTTTATCTTTCCTTTGGCTGGAAATAATAAAGATATCCCAAAAATGCCAATTGCCAAAATTTATATACTTTAAAGTGTGTACAAAAATAAGTAATAAAAACAACAGCAAGGTTTGTTTTATTGCACAATAAATTTACATGCAATATTTATTATTAGAATTAAATTGTAGACATTTACTTGCAAATACATTAGAAAAAAATTTTTCCCCTACAGGAACAGTGCTTCTAAGACATCAGTGCTGAGTATTTTTTCTTATGTTAGATGAACTGGTATCAAAAACAATTTTACTCATAATCTATTAGACTAATTATAATTAACTATGAAGACATTAAATCAATATTTAATAAGTGTTCAGTTTTAGCTAAATGTCATAGAAATGGTGTCATAATTGATATCTGAAAAGTATAGTTCCTTGAGCAAGTAAATAGCATTTATGAAACTGTTAACTTTTTTGTCCATAGGCAATTTTATTATTCTAATAGTAGTTTTCATGCAAGTTTTAGCATATTCTACTAAAGAATACTGAAATAATCTGATTCTCTGGTTATGGTGATTGGTGTCATTGATTGATTTCACAAATACATACCCTAATATAATAAACACTACAGTACTTACCTGACCATATCAACTATGTTTAAACCAGTGATCTAGAAAGAGGATTTTATCTTAAAAAATATGGCAGGAGGTGGGAATAGAAGCACTAGGTATATTAATGTTCTATGATATGATCTCTATGTATCTCTAATATATTAATATTACTTATTTGCATTAATATATGAATGTTTGAAATAAATATACTTAAGTGTAGGATATTTTAAAAAATGAAACAGATCTAAGCAACATACCTGTTGAGATACTGCTGCAGCTAAATTCCCTCCAGCACTGTCTCCAGAAACACCAATCCTTTTGGGATCAACGCCATATCTTTTAAGAACATCTCGGCGTAAGAACCACTTTAATGATTTATATACACCTTCAAATTGAGTTGGAAAGTGGTATTTTGGTACTAGTCTATAGCTATGGGCAGAAAAACAATATTCTTTAAGTCAATATATATATTTTTAAATATATTTTTATTGATTTTAGAGAGAAGAAGGGAGGGGGAGAGAGAGAGAGATATCAATGATGAGAGAGTCATTGATAGGGTGCCCTCTGCACACCCCAAACTGGGGATCGAGCCCGCAACCCGGGCATGTGCCCTGACCGGGAATCAAACCTCAGTCTCCTGGATCCTAGGTCAATGCTCAACTGTTGAGCCACGCTGCTGGGCTAAGTCAATAGTTTTATTTAATTAATCAATTAATTAATTTATTTATTTATTATTTATTTATTTAATTATTTATTTTAAACATATCTTTATTGATTTCAGAGAGAGGAAGGGAGGGGGAGAGAGAGAGATAGAAACATCAATGATGAGAGAGTCATTGATCGGCTGCCTCCTGCACATCCCCCACTGGGGATGGAGCCCGCAACCCAGGCATTTGCCCTGACTGGGAATCGAACCCCGATCTCTTGGATCCTAGGTCGATGCTCAACCGCTGAGCCACGCCCGGCTGGACAGTCAATATTTTTAATAAAATTCTGTGTGTGTGCATGTTCTAACCCTAAAATCAAAAGTAGCATGTTTCTTTGAAAAATATATTTTGAATCATAATGAATCTAAAGACAAATTTAATCCCAATGATAACGCTTGATACGAAAACTTTCACAAATGTCATTTTTACACTAGTAAAGGCTTGAATGCAATATTTGCATTAGGCTTAAGAAACAAACAATCCCAGATGATAACTGACTAACCTTCTCCCAGAGTGTTATTTTGTTTGTAATCATTATACTTTATTACTAGCCAATAAATACCAAACAAATCTTAGGAATTAGTCTATCCCAACTTAATCTAATGATCAAGTTAGCATGCAGTGATTACTATGGTTTCTCATTTTCTATTATTGGGTATTGATCTAGAATGCTCTTTAGAATAGATTTTGCAGCCTGGGGGTATAGCTCAGGGGTAGAGCCTTTGACTGTAGAATAGATTTTGCCTGTATTCCCATGTTATTTAGCAATTGCTTTTAATGAAAGATTATACCATGAATTATACTATACTAATTGCTTTAAATGTATTTTATCACCTAATTTTTAAAACATCCCTGTTATATAGAAAACATTATGTGACTCCCAGTCATATAATGGAGCTAAAAATGATGTTTAACTGCCACAAAGTGACTCAGTTAATTCTAGAACCAAATTTTGAAACTGATTCTCTGACTCTAAAGCCCTCTTCACTCTGCTAAGAGTAGGCTAGAAATCCAGCCATGGTCATTTGTCAATGAAATTCAATACTTTAATTCTACTCTAACAATTTCTTGACTTCCTGTTTTTGTTCCCTACTTGATTCAGCTCTACAACTCTTTTCTCTCTCTTTTCCGGTCATGCCTGAGCTCACTTTCTCTATTCTCACCCTCTCGTTTTCATTTGAAACATGCCTGGCATAACCAAGGGATGACCAGGACAGCTGAAAACACCTTACTATGTAAGGTACCTGCCCAAACCCAAACAAACCAACAGTGCTCTTACTTGGTTGAAACGACAACTGCATCAAGCCTCTTAGCTGTTTGTCTTGACAGAGAGTCATAATGAAAATTAGCTGAAATCAAAGAAAACAAAATCAGAGACTAATAAATAAATTGATGGGTATTTTTTTTTCTATTCAGCATAATGCCCACTACGATACCTTGTGCTTTTAAAAAAATGTTCTGGAAAAATACTCCTAATATTTCATCATAGCTACAGAATGTGAATTCTTTTGTTCAGTGGTCCTGTTACATGTGCTTTGTCAGTTTTCTTATCCTTTCCCCACATGTCACACCCTGTAACTTAAGTCAACTTCATTCTCTTCAAGATCTACCTGTGCTCTCCTCAATCAGCAGGCATTAGGTGTTGAAAGAATAAACATAAATATACCTCCCTGAATTTCAGGAGGTCACAGTCCACTGGAGATAGGAGCATGGAGGGGCAGGCACATGAACTAAAAGCAATAGTGAAATATACTAGTTGCTTTAATGGAGGGGTAGAGAGAGTGCTCTGTGCAATACTATTCGACTTTTTAAAAACTGCCAGAGGAAGTTAAGGAAGAGCAAAAAGGAAACAGGGAGAGTTGACACCTGATTTATGCATTAATATTTCCATATATATGTGTTTGTGTGTGTGTGTGTGTGTGTACATATGTGTGTGTGTGTGTGTGTGTGTGTGTGTGTATATATATATATATATATATATATATACACCTTAATCTTACCCAAGGACATGTTTTTTTACTGATTTTAGAGAGGAAGAGAGAGAGAAACATCAAGTGGTTGTTTCCCGTAGGTGCCCCCAGCGTGGATCGAACCTCCCACCTCGGTATTGCGCTGACCGGGAACCGAACAGGCAAAATTTGGTGAATGGGAAGACGCCCCAACCAACTGAGCCACACAGGCCAGGGCTGTAGGTATATTTTATATAAAATAAACGTAAAGCATTCTTACTCAACTCTGTGCTTCCTTTCTATATAAAACCTTGTCTTTCCTTCACATCTAAATTTGGAATCACAAACTCCATTTCCTCATTTCTCATCCACTAGTCAACGCACTTAATTTTGGTTTTCATTACAACATTCCATGATTTTTGCAATTAGCCTGTTTAATAATAAATTTCTATGTTCACAAAACAGTTTTTCTTTTTACCTGAGATTTGCTACAGCTTTTAATATTGATTTTTTTTTCCAAAAAAAAAATTAAAATAGTTTTTTTAAAAAAAACTAACATAGTTCCGAAGAAATAAATTTCAGACAGCTGAAGTGTTTCATTATCTGTGGTAATGTTTACCAGATACGTCAGAGTATAAATATCTTAATAAAATATATACTATATGATAAGAAAAATTTGCACCAAGGGGCACATACCATTACTCCCTATACTCCAACCACCACCATGAATATAAAATAAGCCCCTTTTTAGTGCCTCTGACTTTCGATTTGGTATATATATGCGGACGGGAACACTGTTGAAAGTTGTATCCATCACAGTGATATTTTCTTCAGATGTGGGTGAGACATCTTGTAAGCGCAGAAAGAACATTATAATGCTCATGCAATGGCCGATACCCACTAGTTCAGCAACTGTAGCCTAAAAGGAGAGAAGGGAAAAACAATGCTATACCAGGCTACAAACAGCAAATGCTAGTGTTGTTTATGAACACAGAAATATGCATTTGTGCTCCCTGTGTCACATCACCACAGGTGCCTCTGAATGATACAGAAGTGTAAGAGATTCAGAATCTTCACCATAATCGTTACCTCAGACTAAAAACAAGATATTTAAAGAATTCTTGAGATGTTACAACTTGGCAGAGTCTATGCTTCCTTCCTACTTCGGGTACACACATAAACAGTATATCATCAAGTCTTTTATCTTCAAAGGATGACACTGTTCCAAAACATTTTTAAATGATAGAGAATGGTACTGTGTTATACAATTTAAGGAGAGGAATTTAGTTATGAAAACAAATTGCAATGTGTAAGAAAGTACAAAGTCTGAAATTGTTAATGTGATTTTATAACTTCACAAGTTTTAAGATTCTACTAGGAAGTATACTCAACATAAAGCAAAAGACTAAAAAGTCACCAGCGTGTGCTGAAATTGTCGCCCAGAGTCCCTGCAGTCGGAATAGAAAAACTGGAGTTTTCAAGTTTCTTTGACTTTCTTCCTGTAAGTGACATATGGCAAATGAGAGCAGTAGATTAATGAACATAACATCTCAGATCGGCTTACTCTCTTTATACTGACTAAAACCTAAAAGCAATTTTTGATGTAAATTTGAACATCAAATGATAAAGAGGGAAAATTCTGACTAGCTCTAGAATTTATATCCCTCAGTGTATGGACAAAATCATTTCTTGTACAAGGATGTATCAGCTGAGGGAATAAATAATGAATTTCTGATGATCAAAGTTGAGAAACAGTGCCTATGCCATTTACTGCACTCAAAAGGGTGTTAAAACATCTTTTTTTAAAAAAGGCAAGGCAAGAGGTAAAAGCCACGTGTTTTATTATGCAGGTTAATTGGCCCTGAATGGTCTTTTTTTTTTTCCTGCAAGCAATTTGCTTCAGGGAAGTTTAAAGAAGACAACCAATGGTTTCATTTCTAAGTAATTAGCCTCTCTAGCAAAGGACCGTAGGTCTTCGAGGGCCAGCCCGGGGGACCTGGTGGGCAGCCAGGCAGGAGGTGGCCAGGCCGCCCCAGCAGCCCACCTGTTTACTGGACATTGCACATGTCCCTGGCCTTCACCAGTGACCCCTTTGCAAACATCTCAGTGAGGATGCATGTTCACGTCCGAGTGTAACATTATTGCACAGGATTCTGTAACTGCAGCGTCGCTCAGTCCTACCATTTCCACAGTTCATGTTTTAAGGTCCTTCGTTCTGGCTGTGTTCACGCCATGACAATCACAAGGACACTATGGTTTTCTCAGCCGGCACATTTTGTCTTTTAATACTTAAAATCAAAACTACTTAAGTTCTAAAAAAATAAATAAATAAATAAAATCAAAACTACTTGACAACTTCCCTGTTAGTGGTCAGCGTTAAGGAATAGTCAAAATATAAAAAAGGTTTTAAAACCAGCAAACTTAAAGAGCAAAACTTCCAAGACAGTAGAAATTGTGAAAAGTAATAAAACAGATACTTCCCCCCGATTAAACTGTTAAATATTGAGTCAATGAAATTCTGCACTTACCAGATCTATGGCAGTTTTCAACATTACGCTCAAACACGTTAGTTTCCATGGCTCCTCAGCAGTGTCAGGGAGCGGCGTATAAACACGATATGCTGTGAAGACGCCCAGCACCAGGAGCACAGTTGTCTTTTTGCCCATGATGTTTCCCTTCTGCCCCGCGCACCTGCCAGCACAGCAAACACACTCTGAAATACTCAGGGGCGGTTTCGTAGCCGGCTTTGGCCCTGTCATGGCCTGTCATCTAGCTTCCTGAACACAGACGCCACAGCTCAGAGTGGCCTTTCTTTGGCTGCTCAGAAATAAGCAGTAAAGGTACAAACCTCTCAGGGAACATACAGCACCTATTGTTTGCAAGTTCTGGCATGTCCAACATCCTTAGTGTATTACAAACAGTTTATTGCATAATTACTAGGTTAGTACTTTAACTTTTTTAAAAAAGGTCTTAGGAAAATACAAGAAACCAGGTATATGCTTCAAATAACAAATCTCAGAGAGGGGGAAAGCAAATATTGAGAGCTTTTACAAAGTAAGATGAATAGGCTCATATAAATTTATGTTATAACATTTTATTGTCTTGCTACAATTATAAATATAAGTAATACTAACTATGTTAAAATTACACAACAATCATGGAGATAGCTGAAGTTTTTGAGCACTTTCTGTACCCCAGTTAGTATACTAACACAATTAAATCTTATTTAATCCTCAATAGTATTATTGTCGTGTGAGAGAGAAATAAACAGACCAGTAAGAGGAAAGAAACAGATGAAAACTTCTCATAAAAGTGAACACTAATTCTAAACACAATGTTAGCAAATATTTTATATGTATCACAAATAGAATTCATTTTAGTTATGCATATTAGTTGAACATTTGAAAAGTGTATTAATGGATTTTTTAAATCATAAAAATACGATCATCTTAATAGATGCAGATAAAGCATTTAAATTAATTTAAAATTGAATAATGATTATAATAATAATAATAAATCTCTCATCAAGCAATAGAAAAGAATTTCTCTAACTTCTTTAGGGATATTTATGAAAAAGTTAAACCTAATATTATATCACATTTTATAGTAAAATATAAAATTCTTTATTCCTAAAATCAGGAAAAAGAATTAAGATACCCATTCTCACCACCTCAGCTCACCATTGTCCTGGAGGTCTTGACTAACGCAGTAAGACAAGACAAAGAACAAAGTCATACATATTGGAAAAAAATAAAAGAAATAAAACTACCTTTCTTGGAAGATATGATAGTGTAAGAAAAAATTTTTAAGAAATTTATATCAGAGGTATAAGTAAATTTGGTGAAGTCTTAATATACAAGCTCAATATTAAAATATCAAATATATTTCTATATACTATAAGAAAAATAGGAAAATAAAATTAAAACATCAAGACCCATTCACAATGACAACTGAAAAATCAAATTCTCATAATTAAATATAACAAAAGGCATATAAAACCTTGACACTGTAAACTACAAAAGAAATCAGTTGAGAGAAACTCCATGTATATGAATTGGAAAATGCACCATTTTTAACATAAACTGCGTCCCCAAAAAAGCCCCAAAATTCAATGGAATCTGACTTAAAATCTCAGATTTGGGGGGGAAAACTGGCAAGCTAGGAGATTCTAAAGGTGTTTTTGTTTTTCCACCCCAAAAATGTAGAATAGCCAATTTTTAAGCAGAAGAAAGTTGAAGTATTTAGAATTAGGACAAAGATCACTGAAGATGAATAACAATAGAAAGTATTTGAAATGAGGAATGAATAGTCTCAGTGATCCCT